CCCGTGTCCCTCCCTGAGGGAGCTGCCTGTACCTGCACCGACTGTCCTCGTGTCCCTCCCTGGGGGAGCTGCCTGTACCTGCACCGACTGTCCCCGTGTCCCTCCCGGAGGCAGCTGCCGGTACCTGCACTGACTGTCCCCGTGGAAGCTGCAGGTTTCATGTTTTTTTATTGGGGCTGCTGATCAGTGAAACTGACTAGGCGAGGGTGCATGGGATGGTTTACCCCGTTGCTGTGCTGCGCGCAAACTGACGTTCTGCTGTTGTGTTTACCTCTCCAGGGCCCAGCAGTACAGCTGCGCCGGCAGCGCGGCGACCGAGAATTCCGGGAAGCAGGAGAACCCGGAATGGGAGAAGGCCCGGCAGGCACTGGCCAGCATCCACAAGGCCAGCTCACAGTCTGGGGCAGCCAGCAGTACCGGGCAAGGAGGTACCCAGGTAATCGGCTGAGCTCTCCTTTGTCCCTGTCTGCTCCAACCTCTCTTTCACTGGTCAGTCAGTCAGTCAGTTCAGAAGGAGGACAGCCCTCAGATACAGGAGGGTATAGATGGGCTGGTCTGTGGCAATAGGAATTCAGTCCAAATAAGTGTGAGGTGATGCACTTGGGCAGGACTAACAAGGCAAGGGAATCAGCGATGGGCAATCGGACCCTGGGAGACACCGAAGATCAGAGGGACCTCGGCGTGCTCATCCATCGTTCCCTTAAGGTGTCAGGACAGGTGGATAACCGTAGGAACGAAGGGGGCAGAAACCCCCATCACACTGAACAAGGATTTAGATGGGCGCTTGCAATGCCGGGGCAATGCGCCAATGATCATCTTGATGGGATTGTACTATAGGGCCCCCCCCTTGCTCCCAGTAGTCAGCAGGAAATGGAGGAGCAAATACATAGGGAGATCTCCGGCATCTGTAAGAACAATTGGGTTGTGATGGTAGGGATTTCAACTTTTCAGACTTGGGCTGGGACTGCTGTAGTGTTGAAGGGCTTGGACGCAGAGGAATTTAAGTGTAGAATGAGCAGAATTTGATCCCCTCGTGCGGTGTGCCACAGGGATTGGTGCTGGGTCCGCTGTTGCTTGTCATTATGTATAAATGATTTGGATGAACACATAAACGCAATGAGTAAGTTTGCGGGTGACACCAGAATTGCTGGCGTAGTCAGCAGTGAAGAGGGTTATCAATGGGCCAAGGAGTGACAGGTGGAGTTTACTTTTGATAAATGCGAGGTGTTACATTTTGGTAAGGCAAGCCAGAGCAGGATTTACACAGTTAATGGTAGCGCCCTGGGGAGTGGTGTTGAACTGAGAGACCTAAGGGTGACGATACATACTTCCTTGAAAGTAGACAGAGTGGCGAAGAAGGTGTTTGGCATGTTTACCTTCATCGGCCAGAACATTGAGTACGGGAGGTGGGACATCATGTCATGGCTGTACAAGACATTGGTGAGGCCACTTTTGGAGTACTGCACACAATTCTGATCGCCGTGCTGCAGGAAGGATGCAACTAAATTGGTGAGGGTTCAGAAAAGATTTACCAGGATGTTGCTGGGAATGGAGGGTTTACGTTAGAAGGAGAGGCTGGATAGGTTGAGATTTTTTTTCCCTCTGGCGTGTTACAGGCTGAAACATGACCTTATAGAGGTTTATAACATCATGAGGGGCGTAGATAGGGTGAATAGTCAAGGTCTTTTCCCTGGGGTAAGGGAGTCCAAAACTAGAGGGGCATAGGTTTAAGGTGAGAGGGGAAAGATAAAAGGGACTTTTTCACACAGAGGGCGGTGTGTGTATGGAATGAACTGCCAGAGGAAATGGTCGAGGCTGGTACAGTTACAACATTTAAAAGGCATCTGGACGGGCACTTGGATAAGAAGGGTTTAGAGGGATAGGGGCCAAATGCTGGGCAAATGGGCACTAGTTCAGTTTGGGAAAGAAACGTGGTGTGTTGGATCGAAGGGTCTGTTTCTATGATGAATGACTCTGAAGTGCTGGGAAGAGGGGCAGTCAGGTGGTTGTTTCTGCCCAGCGCGGACTAGATGGGCCGAAGGGCCTGACTGACTCTCGTGCCTTGTGTTTCTGCTTCGGCCACAGAGTGCTCAGTACCTGGCACAGCAGGCAGACCCGGCCGCCATGCAACAGTATTATCAGCAGTGGTACCAGCAGTACAGCTACAATTACTCTTATCCCTACTACAGCCCCTACCAGATGGTGAGTACTGCCAGCCTCCGGTTCCTCCACCAACCAGGCGCACGGAGAGGGAAACGGGACATAGCACTTATTCCCTCGAGGGGTACGCTCCCTCGGAAAGGCGCTCGCAGGCCAGCCGCGACTGCTGAGCCTTGTGTGTGCTGGCAGTATCCTTCCCCGTTTTGTGCGCTCTCTCTCGCGTGCGCGCGCGTTCTCGTTCTCTCGCGTGCGCACTCCGTTGAGAACCAGTCACGGTGTTGTGGACCTGGCATGATGTCAACGAGAGCAGCCCTATTGTATCATTTCCAGCTGAGTGCCGTTGCCGCTGTGTCTCATATTTACCTCGTGTCGAGTGGCGCGCAGCCTTGCTGTTGGGCCTCTGTTTGACCGCTTCTTCTCCTGTATCATCACAGAACATGTATTCGGGCTACCAGGGGCAGTACAACGTGCAGGGCTCCTACCCAGCAACACAGCAGGCTACCCAGCACAGCAGTAACCACACGCAGGTACGTGTTGTTCCCCTCTCCCTCCCTCCACCTCTGTCCTGGGAGGTAGGACAGGGCAGGGATCAGTGAACCAGTTTCTCCCTCTCGTCGGGAAGCCCATTACTCCACAGGCATTAGCGATCCCAATCGGGCAGAGAGCAAGGGGTAACGAACGCTGGCCCACCCGGCGATGCCCGCACCCCGTGAGTGGATTAGAGCAAAACATAGAGCAGTCCCCTTTCAGCCAGGCCCAGTCCCCATGGCTTTGTGAAAGGGAGATGGTGGCGAGCAGCTTCCCCCTCAAGAGTTCCTCGCCAGTGGGTCAGGGCACCCAAAGAAGCTTTGGCTCGCCAGGCAGGGGGAAGCTGGCCGTACAGAACGGCACTCGGTCAACGTACCCGCACGGGTTCTCGGAGCTGGCACCCCGGCCACTCGCAGCTTACGCGTCTGGCCTGGGTGAAGGGTGCGCTCAGCTCACCGGTCGGAAATCGAGGTGCAAGGAGGGCAGGGCGGAGTGTAAAGTGCGATGGTGTGAGCCAGGACGTTAAAGCAGCATGTTGTTTAAAAGCCGGGGGAAGGGGGTGGAAGATCTGGGCACCCTCGTGGAGGATTCAGAAACGAGCACAGCCAATGAGTGGAAGCCAGGTCCCTCCCATGAGGATGTTGGGTGGGGGGAGGAGGAGAGGGGTATTGTTGATGGATATTTTCTCGCGGCTGGAGGGAGGTTTGTCATGGGTCTTCACGGTTTGGGGGAGTCAGCGTTTGGGGCCCTTGCTTTTCCTGATGATATACATCAGTGATCTGGATCCTCGTGAGCAATTTAAAGAGGATTGTGAGCTTGGGAAAGAGGACACCACGGAACTCCAAAAGGACATTGAGAAATCGGTGGGAGGGGGTCGATAGGTGGCCGATGAGGTTCAGTGCTGAGGGAAGTATGAGGTGTTGCACTATGGTGGGAGGAACGTTGAAAAAGAATATAAGATTAGATGGTGCAATTCTAAAGGGAGTGCAGCAGGAGCAGGGTGTACGTATGCACCGATAATTGAAGGCGGCACAACCGATTTGACCTTCAGTTGTTTTTCACTCACTCGTGGATTATGGGCGTCGCTGGCTAGGCCAGCATTTATTACCCCTGCCCCCCACCCACCCAATTGTCCAGAGGGCAGCTAAGTGTCAACCTCATTGCTGTGCATCGTGTAAGCCAGAACAGGTAAGAGTGGCAGCTTCCTTCCCCAAAGGATATCAGTCAACGAGATGGGCTTTTCTTGTAACTGCTGAACGACTTAGGGGGGCCAGCAATGCCCACATCATTAACCTTTTGTCATGTATGTAAACGCTTTAAATGCGAGTGTAGGAGGTGTGCTTAGTAAATTGGCAAAATTGGGGGTGTAACGAACAGTCAAGATGGTTACCTTAGAGCACAACGGGACATTGATCAGATGGGCCGAGGAGTGGCAGGTGGAGTCTAATTTAGATAAATGTGAGATGCTGCATTTTAGTAGGGCAAATCAGGGCAGGGCTTATACACTTAATGGTGAGGTTCCCGGGGAGTGTTGCCGAACAGAGAGACCTCGGGGGGAGCAGGTACAGAGTTCCTTGAAAGCCGGGGGTGGCAGGTAGACAGGACAGGGAAGAAGGCATTCGGTATGCTTGCCTTTATTGATCGGTGCATTGAGTACAGGAGTTGGGAGGGTCACGTTGGGGGCTGTACAGGACATTGGTTAGGGCTGTGTTTGGAATACCGCGTTCGATCCTGACCTCCCTGCTGTAGGAAGGATGTTGGGAAACTTGAAAGGGTTTTGAAAAGATTTTCGAGGATGCTGCTGGGGTCGGAGGGTTTGAGCTACAGGGACAGGCTGAGTAGGCTGGAGGCTGTTTTCCCTGGAGCGTCGGAGGCTGAGGGCTGACCTTATAGAGGTTTATAAAATGCTGAGGGGCATGGATAGGGTGAACAGTCAAAGTCCTTTCCCCAGAGAGTACGGGAGTCAAAAACTGGAGGGGCATAGTTTTAAGGTGAGAGGGGGAAAGTGACCCGAGGGGCAACTTTTTCACACGGGGGTGGTGCGTGTATGGAATAAGCTGCCAGAGGAAGTGGGTGGGGGGCTGGTACAGTTAAAACATTTAAGACGCATCTGGATGGGGATATGGATAGGAAGGGTTTAGAGGGATAGGGGCTAAATGCTGGGCAAATGGGTCTAGATTAATTTAGGATTTCTGGGTCGGCACGGACGGCTTGGGCCGAAGGGTCTGTTTCCGTGCATTAGATCTCTATAACTCTGCGACTGTAATTTATTGAATTTAAATTCCCTCTGCCATGGTGGGATTTGAACCAGTTTCCCCCGAACATTACCTGGGTCTCTGAATTAATAGTCCAGCAGTAGTACCAGTGGGCCATTCACCTCCCCTGTGAATACAGCACCTGGTGGTCTTTGGCCCTTTGAAAAAAGGGGGCGTAGAGTCTGAGGGCAGCGAGATGATGCTGAACTCATAGACACCTGTTAGGCATTGAAGGCAAGGGTCAGGAAGTTTGGGGTGGGGGGGAAATGAGTGAGGGGAAAACGTTTTCACCCAGACAGTGGTGGGAATCTGGAACTCAGTCCCTTTAAGGCCAGGAGAGGCAGATACCCTCATCGGGCTGAAGAAGTGTTGAGGTGCGCGCTTGTGACGCTGAGGCTACAGGAGGGCACGTGCTGGGGCAGTGTGGGTTAGAGAACAGTGAGGTGGCGGTCGTGTTTGACTGGCGCGGCCTTGATGGGTTGATCTCTCTGACCATGGCAATTACCCGCGCACCCCCTCCCTCAGCACGCCTGCGTTGGAGGCCGTTCAGGGGACTGTCCCCTCAGCCGGTCTCGTTTGGCGGGGGAAAGGGAGGAGGGTGGGTGGGTGGGTGGGGAGGAACGGTTCGGATGCTAACGTGGATCCCTTCGCCCCCACCCCCAGCAGCCACCCGTTCCGGGTTTGGAGGACAGCTTGACCTACCCAGGTTCCCAGCAGGCCCAGGGAGCGGTTGTTCAGCCACGGGAGCAACAGAGCCAGCAGCAGAAACACAATGCGACAGGAGGCTCCGGTTCCAGCCACCAGCAACAGCAGCAACAACAGGGTCCATACCCCGACTCCGGGGGCAAAGGCAAGAAAGGGCAGCAGCTGTGGCAGCGGATGAAACGTAAGGAGGTCGGGGTCGGGGTGGGGGTGGGAGGAGGCGGGGTCGCGTGCGTCGTATTTTTTGTTGAAGGGTTGCGTTGACGTGGGCGGGGAAAAGGTGCGGGCTCTACCGGCTCGGCGTGACGCGGCGTCTCCATAATTTGTTTGTTTTTTTTGTGTGTGTGCTTTCAGAGGCACCGGGCAGCGGGGGGGTCAAGTTCAACATCCAGAAGCGGCCATACACGGTCAGCAACCAGAGCTTCGGAGGCACGGCGGAGCAAGGCGGGGCGAGTTTCACCGAGTCCGACAGGTACCTGAATTCCCCCTCCCCCGGGGAGTGAGGCGGCAGCGGGAGGGCTGGCCGGGGTGGGGGAAAGTGGGGAGGGTAAGCTGCCATGGCCCTGAGCGCGCACCTCTTACGTGACATTAGTTCGACCCCACTGTGGGAGAAAGCGGGGTGTGAAACCAAGTCACAAAGTGCCGGAGAAACTCAGCAGGCCCGGCGGCATCCGTGCGGAGAAAGCAGAGTTAACGTTTTTGGCTACGTCAGCCCTCCGTCGGGCGGGTTAACTGGAGAACAGTCGCCAAGAAGGGTCACCGGACCCCAAAGCGTGAACTCTTCCTTCTCCGCGCGGGCATTGCCGGACCTGCTGTGCTTTTCTCCTCCCAGCGATTCTTGGATTCCGTTCCTGATTTCCCGGGGCATCGGCTGCCTGCTTTTGTTCCCTCCCTGATGAGGAGGGCCGCGGTTGCCCCGGAGATGGGGGGGTGGTCTGACTGAGATGCGCAGAATTATGTCGGGGTGTAGACTAGATATGTAGTAGAGGGATCAGTAACCAGGGGGAAGGAGCAGCAGGTTTCGTCAAGATGGAAGGAAGTGTGTGTTTGACACAGAGGGGTGGTGCGTATCTGGAACTCGGGGCCTGTGAGGGTGGTGGATGCGGGAACATTCCTGACATTAAGACGTGCGATTGAATCACACAAGTGCTGAAAATTGACCGGGACAGACACGATGGGCCGAAGGGTCTCTCTCAGGGGCCGTGCTCTAAAGGAGACGGGGAAGGACTGAGAAGGAGGAGAAATGTCTTCGCCCAGAGGTTGGGGAGCCTGTGGAACCCTCTGCCGCAGAAGGTGGTCGGGGGCCAGAACATCGTTCAGGAAGGAGGGGGATTCGACTTCTTAGGGGCTAAAGGGAGAGAGAGCGATTGGGGTGGGGTTGGGGGCGGGGGAGGTGTAACAGGGGGCTGAGTTGGGTGGTCAGCAGGATTGTGCCTGATCGGGGCGTGAGAGCAGGAGTCGAGAGGAGGCCTGTGTCAGAAATGAGAGGCGATCTGTTCCTTTGGGGTCATCCTGACGGACGGGCGGGGAGCAAGGTGTGGGGGGTGGGCACGGTCTCAGACTGCACGCTCCCATTGCGTTTGCTGGCCGTGCTGACAGCTGGGACGTGATCGGTTTGCAGCGGCTCTCCGACCAAGCCAGACGACTGGCCGCAGGCGATGAAGGAGTACGTGCAGCGGTGCTTCACTGCGTGCGAGACGGAGCCGGACAAGGACCGCACCGAGAAGCTGCTAAAGGATGTGCTGCAGGCCCGGCTCCAAGACGGCACCGCCTACACCATCGACTGGAGCAGCGAACCCCTCCCAGAGTACGTACCCACCGCCGCTGTGTCTCTGTGTGCGTGTGTGTGTCTGCAACGGGGGGGTGGTGGGGGCTGACCCTGTTCCTGTGTGACAGGCTGGAGGAGGGGTGAGGGGCTGAACAGCCTCCCGTTCCCGTGTAACAGTCTAAAGGAGGAGGGAGGGGCTGAATGGCCTCCTGTTCCTGTGTAAAGGGCTGGAGGAGGGGTGAGGGGCTGAATGGCCTCCCGTTCCTGTGTAACAGGCTAGAGGAGGGAGGAGGGGCTGAATGGCCTCCTGTTTCTGTGTAACCAGTGGGAGGGGGCTGAATGGCCTCCCGTTCCTGTGTAACAGGCTAGAGGAGGGAGGAGGGGCCGAATGGCCTCCTGTCCCAGTGTAACCAGCTGGAGGAGGAGGGGCTGAATGGCCTCCTGTTCCTGTGTGACAGGCTGGAGGAGGAGGGAGGGGCTGAACGGGTTCCTGTTTCTGTGTGACAGGCTGGAGGAGGAGGGGCTGAATGGCCTCCTGTTTCTGTGTAACAGGCTGGAGGAGAAGGAGGAGGGGCTGAACGGCCTCCTGTTCCTGTGTAACAGGATGGAGGAGGGGCTGAACGGCCTCCTGTTCCTGCATGACAGTGGGGGTTGTGGTGGTGGATATTTTTGGATGTTTTAGTTCAGTCTCTCCCCCCCCGCCCTCTTTGTCTCTCTGCAGTCTGAGTAAAGAAGAAGCCAAGTCCACTCCCCCGAAGAAGAACCGTTGGGGCCTGCCCAGCAGCCAGTCTCACCGAGGAGGCCTGACCTCGAGCCCCTCACAGCGAGGTTCCCTATCGTCTGCAGCCAATCACCGCAGTGGCCCCCCGTCCTCACAGCGGGCTCGGGGCATGGGACAGCCCTCCCGCTTCGGTTACCGCAATGTCTTCACCCGGGAGCAGTCTAGCTCGTCGTCCAGCGCAGGCTCCCATTCCCGATCAGCTAGCCGGTCCCGATCCTCATCCCGATCACCGCACAGGCGTCACCACCGCAGGCAAGGGCACGGACACATGGCCTGCGTGCCACCTCCCGCTCTCTCCCATCACTCCCTTCGTATCTGTCCTATCTCCCTCTCCCCCCCCACCCCCACCCCACCCCGTGTTGTCACACTCCATCTGTCCCTCGTGTTGTGTACGTCTCTCTCTCTCCCTCCGTCACGTTCTGTCACACTCCGTTTCTCCTTACGTTGTGTACGTGTCTCTCTCTCCCTCCCTCATGTTGTGTATGCGTCTCTCTCCCTCACATTTTCACACTCCATCTCTCCCTTGTGTTCTGTACGTGTCTCTCTCTTTCACTCGCTCCCTCATGTTGTGTACGTCTCTCTCTCTCCCTCACGTTCTGTCACACTCTATCTCTCCCTCATTTGTGTATGTGCCTCTCTCGTGCCACCCTCCATCTCTCCCACGTGTTGTGCACGTGTGTCTCTCCCCGATATTCTATCATGCTCCATTGCTCCCTCATGTTGTGTACATCTCTCTCTCTCTCTCTCTGACTCTCTCTCTCTCTCTCTGACTCTCTCTCTCTCTCTCTCTCTGACTCTCACTCTCTCTCTCTCTCTCTCTCTCTCTCTCCCTTATGTTGTGTACGAATCTCTCCGTCTCTCTCCTGCGTGTTTTCTCCCCCCACGGTCTCCGGGATTGACGTCTCACACCGATTTTCTCTCTCTTTCTCCCTGTGTGTGTTCAGTGACAGCGGCTCGAGCTCGGAGTCCGAGAGCAGCTCATACTCAGGCAGTGAGACCCGGGCTGGCTACAGGAAGCCCCTGCAAAAGGGCCGGGGCCGAGGCCGAGTGGAGCGGGGACGGGGCCGAGGTCGTATGCACAGGACACGGAGGTAAGGTGTCGCCCCAGGGTGGAGCCTTGGCCTGGGCCTGCAGTGTTCCAGGATGATGGCGGGGGAGGGGTTGGGTCTCAGTTTGTGTGGCCGGGGGTATGTGCTGGTACCGACGTGACGGCGTCACTGTGTATGCGGCCTGTAGCAGTGGGGGGTGGTGACTGAGTACTGCTTCAGGCCTGCCCAGTGTCCTCACTGCTGTCAGGTGTCATTCCCCCCACCCACCCACCAGCTGGCCCTCGGTTGTCGCCTACATGCGCTCGGGACTGTTCAGCAAGTATAAAGAACAGTACAGCACAGGAACAGGCCCTTCAGCCCACCAATCCTGCGCCAACGCATATTGTCTTTCTAAACTGAAACCCTTTTGCCTCTAGGCTGTCGTATCCCTCTATCCCCTGCCTGTTGATAAATCTGTCAAACGTTGCTATTGTATCCGCCTCTGGTAGCTCGTTCCAGGTTCTTACCACCCAGCGTGTGTTGTCAGGGGGAGGACTTGCATCTCATAGCTCCTTAAAACTTGACCCCCTTTTACCTTAAACCTGTGTGCCCTTGTAATTGACATTTCTACCCTGGGAGAAAGACTCCGACTCTGCTTTCAATCCATCCCTCCCCATAATTCTGTAGACTTCGATCAAACCATCCCTCATCCTCTGACGTTCAAGTGAAAACAAACCAAGTCTGTCCAAACTCTCCTCATGACCAATACCCTCTGGATTAGGCCACTTCACATTAACCATTTCGGCACCCTCTCCAAAGCATCCACATCCTTCTGGTAGCGTGGCGACTGGAACTGTACGCAGTATTTGACATGTGGCCTGAGTAAAGTACACAGCTACATTGTGACTTGCAGATGAGTGAGGTGAGGGCAACAATGTCGTGTGCTTTCTTGACCACCTTAGCCTCTTATGTTATCACTTTCAGGGAACTTTTGTGCCTGCGTGCTTAGAGCCCTCTGTATGTTGATGCTTCTGAGGGTTCTGTCATTCACTGTACGCTTCCCTCCTGTGTTAGATCTTCCAAAGTGCGTCACCTCACAGGCGCTAGCTCGGTTACAGAGAAGCGCCTTGCAAGGGTCTGTTCTGTGTTGCATTTATCAGGCCAATGTATCTGGGATACAGGCGAACAGTTCTGAGGCCCCGTATCTGGTGAAAGACAGACAGGGCGTGCGAGACAATCCAGAGAGGCTTCCCTTGGCTGATCCTCGGTGTGGAGGGACTGTCTGATGACACGGGACGAGGAGATCAGGCCTGTCCTCATTGGAGTTTAGAAAGAGGCGAGGTGACTGATTGAGGATTCTTAGAGGGACTGGACAGAGAGACATTGTGTCCCCTTGTGTGGGAGAGTCTAGTGCCAGAGGGACATCGTCTCAGAATAAGGGGGTGGGGGGAGGCGGTCTCCCGTTGAAGACGGAGATGGGGAGGAATTTCTTCTCTCCGAGAGGAGTGAATCTGTGGAATTCGTTACCGCAGAGGGTCGTCGAGCATATTCAAGGCTGAAATTTTTAATTGGGATGGGGAAGTGAGGGTTGTCGGAGAAGGGGCGGTTGGCGAAGGCAGGAAAGTGCCGTTGGGAATGCTCAGATTGGCCACAATCTCACTGAGGCAGTGGGGCAGACTCGATGGGCTGAATGGTCTGCTTCTACACTCGGAAGGTCTAACGCGGTCCCCCCCTTTTCCCGGCTGCAGTTTGGTGCATTGGTTTGAAATTTGTCACCATTGCTGTTTGTCCTGAACAGTGCAAGACGAAGCTGGGGCGAAGGCACTTGCGCTCTCTCTCTCTCTCACGAGCGAGCGGGAGAGCCGCGTGCCCTGACCCTGTGCTGCTCTTGGGGGGAGGGGGGAGTGCAGCAGCGCAGGCGGGTTGGGTGGGGGGGGCGGTGGGTTAAGCTGACCAGCCCCATCCATCTGCCTGACCTCCCCGGGGCCAGTCACCGGGAAAAGTTTGGGGGGTTGGGGCAACCCTCATCGAGTCTTTTAGCTTGTGTTGTGCGATCTTGCTGTGCACGCGCCCGGAAGCAAGTGGTGGAGCGGCGCACGCGCGCGCTTGTCTGAAGTCGGGTATGTTTTGTTCTGACCCAGGACGTTTCCCCCTCCTTGTCTCTCCCCGCCCCCACAGGGACTTTGACACAATGGGACCCGGTAAGAAGAGCCGCCGGGTGAAGCAGCACGGCCAGCTGGCCTTCGAGGACCCCGACAAGGAGTTCAAGAAGCAGCGACGGGCTGCCCGCTTCCAGCACGGCACCCCCAAGAGGCTGCGCGGTGAGCCCCTGGTGCTGCAGATCAACAGCTTCGACAGCGGCGCCGAGCCCCTCGACTGGGACCACATCAAGATCGTTGGCACCAGCCAGGAGGTCACCAAGCACTACCTGCGGCTCACCTGCGCCCCCGACCCTTCCACGGTGCGGCCCGTTTCGGTGAGTGCAGTCTGTCCCCGTCTCCGGGAAAACTTGTCTCCCCGCCATCGCCCCTGCACCGAAACCAGCGCCCAATCCCCGCCTCTGGTTCGTGTCCACGTACAGCTGGAGTCACCGGGAAAGAGTGATCATAACGCTCCCTCCCTCCCCAACATAACTGTGGGCGCCTCTGTGTTTGATGGAGTGTCACGTCGTCGAGTTTGAGGCTATTCTCTTCGGCCGTAAGAAACGGAATCTGTGTTTTCTTTTTGAATGACCCGTAACTGTTGGTGGGTGTGCGCGGTGTTTCGGAGGGACCTCGGGCAGAGTGGGGGAAGGGGTGGGTCGCCCTTGTGCGAGGAATTTAGCGTGCGGCCGGGAGAGGGAAGGACGCGCTGGGATCGGAGGCGGGACGGCTGGGATGTTCTCACGGGGTGTAGAGGCGAGACCACACGGAGCAGCAAGTGGGTCTCCGTGAGGAAACGAGGCCGTTCACCCGCCAGGGGGTAGAGGCCGAGGACCCATGTTCCCCCACCCAGAGAGAGAGAGACAGGGTGCCTCAGAAACTCTGGGTCTGCAGGCAACTGCGCAGAGTAAAGCCGAATCTGATATTTCAGGTCCAGCGTGATGACTCCACTTCACAATCTCGAGTCTTGATCAGCTGTGTCCGGGGGGACAGGATTGATGAGGGATGGTGCTGAAGGCCAGTCGATACTGGGGTTGCTGAGGAGTCCTGCTTCTCCTCCTCCTCCTCCTGCTGTTGCAGAGAGAATCTCCCATCCCACGCCACGCCATCTTCCTTGCTCGCACCCCCCCCGCCCCAACCCCAGTCCCATTCAGCGCCAGGTGCTCATCCTACATTCCACCTCCCTCGGGTTTTCCACAGCCTCTCCATCGTTCCCCTCGATCCTCTTCCCCTGGCTTTGTCGTGCTGTCCTCTCCTTTGGGATGGCTTCAGGCTGGGGTTCTGGTGTTTGGCAAGGATCTGATCTATTGTGCTGTTCTCTCACTGTGTATATGGCTCTCGCTCTCTCTCTTTCCCCCCCCACCCCGGCTCTGCTTGTTCTCTCTCTCACTCTCTCGCTCCCCAACCTGTTTCCCCCCAACCCCAGCTCTGCTCGTTCTCTCTCTCTCTTTCTGGCTCTGCTCGCTCTCCCTCTCACTGTCTCTCGTTCTGTGGCCCAGGTTCTCAGCAAGTCTCTGGCCATGGTAAAGACTCACTGGACCACCCACCAGGACTATGCGTTTGCGTGCGAGCAGCTGAAATCGATCAGGCAGGATCTGACGGTACGTGGGCGAGGGAGTTGGGTTGGAGGGGGGAGGTGCTACAGGCTGTGGCCCCTGGCTGTCAGACAAGAGAACACGACGAGGGCCGCGGTTTGAAAGCTGCAGCTCTTCCCTTTTAAGACGCGACGGCGAGAAACTTGTTCTGCTGCCCTCTTTCCCCATTGATTGATGGAGGCCGGGAAATGGAATATTTTCAACCCTCCCCACCTCCTCCCCGCTCTCCCTATCTCTGTCACCTCCTCCAGCCCCCTACAATCCTCACCCTCCTGTTCAAATCCCTCCCTCCCTATCTCCGTCACCTCTTCCAGGCCCCTACAATCCTCACCCTCCTGTTCAAATTCCTTCCCTTATCCCTTCCCTCCCTATCTGTGTCACCCCTAACCACTCTGGTATCTCTGTGCCCCTCTGATTCCAGCCTCATGAGCTTGATATTCTAATGTCAGTCGATGCACTGTGGAGAGCCGAGCCTTTGACCACCTGGGAGGGCCTGAAAGTCTGGATTATCCATCCTGAACTTTTCTTCCCATCCCCATTCCCCCCTGTCTATCTCACTGCCTGTCCCCAACCATGTCTCTGTCTCTGTCTCTGTCTCTGTCTCTCTCTTCTCCCGGCTCCCTCCCTCTGCTGCAGTGCCCTGTGTTCTTTCTGATGTGTGTATGTCTGACCTTATTCCACGGTCTCTGTCCTGTTTCCGTCAGGTCCAAGGGGTACGTACTGAATTCACAGTTGAAGTCTACGAGACGCATGCACGGATTGCTCTGGAGAAGGTAAGAGCAGGCCCTTAGAGGGACTGAGGGCCAAATGTGTACGAGTCTCTGTGACCAGGTTCAATGTGATGGGAGTGAGGGGGTCAGGGGGCAAGCTGTGACTGGGAGGGTCAGAAGGCAGGCTGGGACTGAGGGTTAAAGGTGACTGTGGGGTCAGAGGGCGGGCTGTCACAGAGGGTTAAAGGTGACTGGGGTGGGGTCAGAGAGTGGGCTGTGTTTGAGGGTTAAAGGTGATGGTGGGTCAGAGGGCGGACTGTGTCTGAGGGTTACCGAGGGCAGTGCAGGGAATGCTGTGTTGAACCAACTTTGTGACGAATGTCTTCCTGCGCCCTTTGTCCACACCTCCCCAAACCCAGGGCGACCACGAGGAATTCAACCAGTGCCAGACCCAGCTGAAGTCACTGTACGCTGAGAACCTCCCAGGGAATGTGGGGGAATTCACAGCCTACCGAATCCTCTACTACATCTTCACACAGAACTCCGGAGGTACGTTCCGACAGACGCTGTGTGTGTGTGTGTTTGCTTCCTCACCATCTCCCCCAGCCAGCAACCTCACCACCTGCCCTCTCTGTCCCTTTGCAGACATCACGACGGAGCTGGCCTTCCTCAGCCGGGAGCTGAAGTCAGAGCCATGTGTCGCTCACGCCCTGGCCCTGCGAGCCGCCTGGGCCCTGTGTAATTACCACCGCTTCTTCAGGCTGTACCGTCAGGCTCCGCACATGTCCGCTCGCCTCGTGGCCAAGTTTGTGGAACGTGAGAGAAAGCAGGCCCTCAAGGCCATGCTCAAAACGTACGTCCCTTCGTGCAGGGGGCGGGGGGGGGGGGGGGGGGGGGGGGGGG